TATATATTAATTAAAACACATTTTACCCGCGCACGACGATGCGACAAAATAGGTGTCCTCCCTAGGCAAAATTGACGTTCCGGACGCGTTGGCGCAGTCCGTTTCGTCATCCGGGGTCGCTCGGACGACGTCGTCGACGGTCGGGTCAAAAACGCGTCGAAATTCAAATTTCACAAAAATATTGACCCGCGATCGATTGTCTCAAAAATTTCATTCGGGTCTTCGACTGGTAACAGTGCAAGCGATGTGAATTATGGCGATCGGACGTGTTGGCTCTCCGAATTGCGAAGTTTGTGCGCGCGGGAGTGCGAATTGTGCAGAAGGCCACCCTAAGGCTCAAAAAGGTCCTATAGGGGTCCCTTTTGGGTTTCCTCATGTTGGTTTCACCCTTCTAAATGCTAGAAGTCGATACCACACACTTGGAACCACAAAAGAGGACGGAAATAGGTCGAACTAAAACGAGGCGGGCACCACTTCTAAGGTTCTAAGATAATCGCAGGAAGACCCCTAAGGCTAGATCCTAACTCCTACGAGAAAAACTAGACCTCACGAAAATTGAGGTCAACAATGAATTTTGTGTAGGCTCACTTTTGCTCTCTCTCTCTCTCTCTCTCTCTAAACTTTCAAGTGGAGTCTCTCTCTTTACTATTGGCAACATCCAAAACTTTCAAAATCTCAATAGATAATGTACCTTCAAATATATTTAACTGTTAATACATAGCAACTTATTAAAAAAACAAGTTGTTGGTTAATTATACTATATGATCTATATCATATTATACAATTGATTAAAATTTGAGTATACTAACAGTTGAATAACATAATATGATTAATTAAATCAACATTTAGAAAATTGATAGTACAAAATTGGAATGATTTTGCAATTAAACTTACTCATAATTAAACTTACTCATTTCATTATTAAACTTACTCATTTCATTAACATTTTGGCTTATATAGAGTCATACAACATTTACGAATAAACCCCAAATTTTTTTCTATTTACAAATATAACCCTACATTAGATAAAAATCTCAACACTCCCCCTCAAGGTGAGCAAAAGATATTCACTAAGCCCATATTATCACATAATCTAGTTAACTCCACTGAGCTAAGTCCTTTAATGAGGTAATCAACCACCTGCTCTCTAGTAGCTACATGACCTAGTTCCAACAATCTGTTATCCAGTTTTTCCTTGATGATGAATCTATCAATCTCCAGATTTTTAGTTTTATCGTGTTGCGGCAGGTTGCTCGTAGTGTTGATTGCCAACTTGTTGTCACACCACAACTTCATTTGAGTTCCCTGATCCACTTTGAGTTCAACCAACAAGGCTTTCGGTCACATCATCTCAGCAACTTCTAATGTCATGGCTCTGTATTCTGCCTCTATTGTTGATCTTGCTACAATTGACTGTTTCTTGCTCTTCCACGGAACCAAGTTGCCACCTACAAACATGCAGTATCATGATGTGAATTGTCTGTCGTCAGCACAACTTGCCCAGTCAGAATCACAAAAGCCCTCAATATCTATATGCCCGTTCTTCTTGAATATCAACCATTTTCTTGTTGCACTTTTTAGTTACCTCAAAATCTGATACACTACATCCATATGACCCTTCCTTGGATCATGCATGTAGCGGCTCACCACACTTACTGCAAAAGTTTGTTTGTGATGTTTGTGAGTTTAACAAGCTTACTATGAGCTCTTATATCAATTATTGGGGTAGAAATTCTAATGTTTTTGACTTGACTCATTATGATGTTTGGGGACCTTGTTCTATAAGTTATATGAATAATTTTGATATTTTGTAATATTTATTGATTGTTTTTCTCATGTTACTTTGCTATATTTTATGGAAAATAAATGTGATGTGTTTGCTTGCTTTAAAGACTTTCACAAGGTAATTCAGACTCAATATGGTGCAGCAATGAAGATATTGAGAACTGATAATAGAACACAACATACCAACAAAACATTTGAGTAATACTTGTCAGCCCAAGGGATACAGCATCAAACCACATGTCCATACACACCAGCACAAAATAGAGTAGCAGATAAGAAGAACAAAAAAATTCTAAAAGTTTCTTGAAGCAGATGATTGCAATTAATGTCCCAAAACACTTATGGGGCAAACAGTTTTGACAGTTGTTCAATTGATCAACAGGATGTCATCGAGGGTGTTGAATTAGAAGTATTATTGTTAGATGTTGAAAAGATAATAGCGAAATTCTCCCATTAAAGGTGTTTGGATGTGTATGTTTTATGAAGGGTGACAGACTATCGGTAAAGAAGCTGGATCACAGAGCGGTGAAATGTGTGTGCTACTCAGTAGGGGTATGTCTGTCGGAGCCCAATAGAGAAGAGATTATTTGTGAGCATGGATATAACATTTAGAGAATTTCAACCATACTACACCCAGGAGGTGACCTCAACCTTTAGTAACTCGCCAGTTACTAGAGATATGTTACCCTAAACCCTATGAACTTAAGCTTGAAGTAACCTAAAAGCTGTTCTCAACTTTAAAGATGACAAAAAATATAAATGATCCAACAACACTAAGGTCTAAAAGAGAATTATAGCAAGACTCAGGAGGTGACCTCACATAACCTGAAGCATAACATGACCTCCAAAACAGCTCAATGACCCAAATATAGCAAGACTCAAAATATCCAACAACACTAAGGTCCAAAAGAGAATTACGTAATAAATAAAATACGACCAGATATGTCATAGGTATATGAGCTCTAGAGTGTAGCATACAAAACAATTAACTATGGCAATGATTATGAGTGTGATGTGTTACATCAGAGAGACATGATTATCATTAATTTAAGGAAAGTATTCTTATTATGCCTCATAGTACATGTTTATTTAAAAATCTTCCAGGACATTACAATCTTTTTCCTATTATATATAGAAGAACCTCATATTGAATAAATTAAAAAAAAAAAAAACTTTTTCTTCCCAACGGTCTCCATGAAATCACAGATGCACTATCCTGTTAGTATCACACATCAACAAACTCGCCATTGTCCCCAAACCTGCTTCCCCTCATTTTTCCTGCTCATGATTATAAAGGGAATCAAAATTTTCTGGTTGACACTAATACTGATTAAGCTCTAGGATTGGCGATGAAGACCAAACTATGTGAATTTCAATCGAATCAGATATGCAAATTGGGCTGATGGACCAATTTTCAATTTCTGGATTTTGGATGCAGAAAGAGTGAAGTATTATTGGGACATTTATAGTCGTTTGTTCTCCACACTTCTATATGAAAAATGCCCCTGAAGCCCACTTTCTATTAACATAACCCCCATGGTAAAACAATGTATGGTTTTTATTATATTTTTTATTGAAACAAATTTGTAATAAAAAAGAGTAAATACCGCATAAGTATGGTGATGTTGGGTGCAAGAAATATGGCCTTGAGGAGCATTGATCTTTCTATAGACAAGCTTGATGAGCAATCAAATTAACTTGATTACTAGGGGCGCACAAGCCATGACTTCAAGTACAAAACAAGGAATACAAGATTACTCTGGTAAATTATCACATCTCTGTTGGATACAAATCCACATGACCCTATAAACCAGCTCAATAGACTAAACTTTAACACCCAACTACAGATAAAAAAAATTCTTTGTTGCAAAAGCTTGAATGAAACGCATTAAGAATAAACATTAAGTTAGTGGATACAGTAATGAAACTAGCAGAACCATGAATGAATGGATATATCAAGTTCTGTAATTGCAATATACTAGGAAACTTAAATGAGAAAAGTAAATAAACCGTTATCTTTAAACAAGCTATACTAAACTTTATGATCTGCTGAAAGTTTAAGGCAATATTATAAAATAAGCAATGTTAAGATGCTATTTTTTCGCTCACCTTCAAGAGCTTGATATGATCTCTCAGAACCCAATAATCTTAGAGCAATTGGCTGATCTGACCCAAATACTTCCCCTGATGCTAGCTGAAACAACAAACAAACTCGTCATAATATTCTTTCCTTTCTCATGTATGATTTCAAATATCCAAAAAGAATGAGCATTCCAAATTTTACAAAAGCATAAATTGTTTCTTTTAAAGTTTATAGGACTGTTTGGGTCTTTGTAACAGAACAAGCCTAATGTTGATGGGACTACTGCATGCATATGGTTTAAATTTGCTTTCATGCCATCAATGGTTCTCTTGCTTGCATGAGTTACTATGTAATGGGCTCAAGGGAAAGACACTCTAGTGCCCAGACATACAAATAATATACTGAAGAATTAGATAAATTAACGCAAGTAACGCAAGTTTTTTTTTTTTTTGACATTTTCTTTTTGGGTGTGAAGCAAAATTAATCACAATTTTATTAAAAGTGGTCAATCCGTTCGGATGTTTGGTGCATAAGTATGCGGGGGGATGGAAAGCCGGAAGACCTCCCAACCACTTAGCTACCGCCTCAATCTGCACCTTCTTGACATTTATAACGCAAAAAAAAAGGCAGAAAATTTGGAAGAAGGCAAATATAATGCATGAACCTAAGTACCAAAAGGAGTTTTTTTATTGAATGAGCAAAAGATAACATTGTTAATATACTATAAAGAATTCACCCCTAAATCTGATAACTTCAGGAACTATCTCTAAAAATCATAATAAAGCAGGATTTGTTTGATCTTACAGATTACATTTCATTTCCGCATAGAAAAGGTTAAAGTTTCTCTGAATAATTTCATCATAGAAGATAAAAGCAAGTAAGAAACTCTGCTAATGCCAAAATTTAAAAGCAACAAAGTGAAGATTTCATAAACATGAAAAGTGTTTCATTACTTTGAAGAGTAGGTGGTTGGATATCATCCCAGCTGCGCCAGAAACCACAACGCTAATTAAACTTTTCCAAGTCTTCGTCTTCTCTTCCTGTAAAGCATCACATTGTAAGCATGATATAGTGGAACTGATACTTAAGCACTACGCTTGTAAGTTATAAACTCGACTCATAAGACAAAGACAATGACTCTCTTTACTGTTTTAAAAGCCAAATAATAAAAAATAGATCAATCAATCAAAGAAATGATATGACGAGTACAGAGAAGTACTTATAAATTAGATAAGTTCGCGGTGGAATAAGTTATCGTTGCCCGAGCAATAATCCGGAAGCAATAAAATAGAAAATGAGACGAGTACATAAATATTTCCGATACAATCCCTTATCAGATGAATGAGATGCAACAATAACTAACTCCTACGCTAGATTCAAAAGCAAACACGTTTCAGTAATTGGATCAAGAGCAAGGTCCCTCTTCGCTATATAAAATTTGTGAAATAATTTTAACAAAGCTCTAAACGGGTACCCATGAAACATGTACAAGTGGAGAGTGTGGCTCACATATGCTCGCGAAAGAAGATGAAGGTACAAATCCAGGATTGGGCCGAAGAAAAGAGTAAAAATGATCTTACCGCCTGGAGATCGTATGTTGTGCAAAAGACGCCATAACACTCCTGTTTGTTTGCCGCATCGGCCGGAAGGACAGGAACCGCGGTCGCCGGTGACTGAACTTGGCTGAGAACCAAACTCCAAAATTAAGCAGATATGAATAAGACTGAAAGTAAACAAGAATTTAAAGTTGTAAGGAGCTCGAAAGATGAAACAGAGAGGGAAACCTCGGCGCAACGGAGCAGGAGATGCTCAGCGGCCGGCGGACTTGGAGTGGAGATCGGCACCTCTTGAAGGAGGGGATGTGGAAGGCATTCAATGGAGTGGAGGAGAGATTGGCGGGTAGGGTTTGATATCTTGAGTAAGAGCAAGGAGAGATCTCGGCCACGGCCATGAAGACGAAGAGGGAGTGACTGGAGTGAAGAAGGGAGGGAAGAGAGATGGGGAAAATCTACTTTGTGGCTTCGAATGTCATGGAAAAGATTTGAGGCCGAGGCAAGTACACCTGGCAGGATAGGGTGATCCATACTTAATAGGTTGGCGACCGCTAGTCCTATGAAATAAAATATAGTGTTTTGAGTATATATATATATATATATATATATATATATACATACATACATACATACATACATACATACATACATACATATCTGTTTGAAGTGGCGGTTGTTTTTTGAAGAAGTAATTATGAAACTGTTTCAGGAGAAAATAACTTCACAATCGCTGTCAGAAAGCTCTTCTAGAGTGGAAGTCAGAATTGTTTAGATAGTGTTGCAGTTATTTCTAATAAAAAGACAATCATATTCTTATATATATGTAAATTAATTGAATTGATATAGTTTTTAAAATAATTGTAGCAAAATAAAAAAATAACTTTAGCAGTACAAAAAAGAGTCAAATTTCTTCAATAAATTAATTTTAAGTTATCAGTGTACACATAATATCACAATAATAAAAACTATAAAAATAATAAGTAATGTTATAATAATGTTCACATTCACGTCCAAATAATCAAGATTTTGAAATAATTGTATATCTATAACATCTCTCCTAACTAGGTCCTTATATGAAACAAACTCTTCTATATCACAACCTCATCAAAGAAACTTGCAATCTTGTGTGTCCTATTTTTGAAACAGTAATAAAATCTCCTCTCATGCATGTCTTCTCTTCTTGATGTATATTTAGAACATTGCATTCCACAATTACAACATAAAACTCTTGAAGTACATAAGGACTTTGAACTCGTTTTTCCCGAGATTATTTTATGTTATGTTTTTAATTGACAAATTGGACTACATATACAATAAAAAAATAAAAAATATATATTATGATTCATAACTAAAAAAAATACATATAAGTGCATATCTAAAGTCATAAGCTTAAAAATCAAAATTTCAAAATATGAAATATAAATTAGACATCAACAAGTCATAAATCATCTGAAATAATAAAAATCAATCAGAAGGCACTACAAAATTGTAATTAAATACACTATATAAATTCACTAAAGCATTTGTGATCTATTCTCTCAATAGGACCATCTCATGAACACCCTCCCTATCGGGTGTTGAAATCATTCGCACCGAAGTCTTCCTCAAGCAACGATTGACATGTCTGATATTTGAATGCTTCTATACGTATGCATGTTGGATCTTCTTCTAAAACCGTGAAATGAACATTATCTTAATATGGTTATCTCAGTATAAAATTATGCAAAGTAGTTGTTTTAACAATCATCTTTATCTATTTTTTCAAGGAATATATCGTCAGATCAAAAGTATGACTGCTTCTTCTTTCATACGTTGAATGCTCTTTTAATAACACTTTGCAATGATGAGTATTTTTATTGAATAATTCATTCCTTCTTTTGATCACTTGGCTGCTACAAAATTAGAAAGGAAGTACCTCGTATCGAGGAAGGGTTTTAAGAAACCTTGTTGCATAGGATATCATGAATCGACGATGTAATATTTCCACAAATTACAACATTATTAGTAAATCTCTTCAAATTTAATCATATACGGTCATGAACGTATTAACCGGGTGGAGGCATTGTTAATTTTTATTCAAGTCATCGAGCAAAAAAATTGAATATGTGATATCATTACACTCTTTTCACAGCCAGTTAAGAATGTAAATTCATTTTGAAGTCACAAACTGTTAAGATATTTTGTGTTGTAGATTAGCATTACTTAATATATGCAATCTTATAATTATTGCTAATATGTGCATCGACATGTGTGTCAACAATTGCTCATATGCAATCCTATTTAAAATATTCACGAGAACGAATTATTCTTTATAAAACATGTATAAAAATTAAATAGGCAAATTAATACCTTGAAGAACAACATATATCTCCAATCATTATAGATTTCTCTAGGTGTATGCCCAAAAGCAGGATTTATAGGTTTAATTATGTTGCTTGACGTTATGACCAAAGAGTTAACCACAATATCAAAATAGTTGTTGATCAACTATATTGACTGTTGGAATTGCTCGGAAGCAGCATAAATGAACTCATTACTATTGTGAGATATACACCAGCTGATGTGGTATCTATAAAAATCAAACAGGAGAAAGATCAAAGAAGCGAAAAAATAGAACGAGAAAATTCACATCAGAAAACAGTAACACAGCGAAACACACAAATTTATGTGGTTCGGCAAATTGCCTACATCCACAAATTTGCAGAGGATTTTACTACTTGAGGAATTTATATCAGTCGATCGTCTCGACTTACAAGAGAAATCTCTCACTTCGTTGCTTTCTTTGCTTCTCTCTCTGTTCTTCTCTCTCTACATCGAAATACAGCGAAGAAACTTTACACTGAGATACACCGAAAAAGATAAACTTACAAGAGAAATAAACCCAATATCTCTTCTTCCACAAGCCACCAAGAAGAAGTCAAGGGAGAGCAATCTTCTTCTTCTTCTTTCATCTTCCTTTTGCCGCAAGGAACTACTCCTTGCACTTCTCTTCCTCTATCCCGAGGAAGCCCGAAGAAGAACACAAAAAAGGTCGTGCTTCTAAACTGAAGGAGAGAGACTCCAAAGCAGGAGGCTTGGTTCAAGAGTAATAACAGGTGAAGGGGTGCTTCACTTCATGGAAAGGAGCATCAGAGGCGGGAGCGGTTGACACGATAGAGGGAGGCGGGAACATTTAGGCGGGGTAGTAAGCAAAATCTCTTTTTTTTTTATTTTATCGGGATCCACCTTAACAAATCTCTCACTTGGAGACCAGTACACAGACTACAACGTCTACTTCCTCGAACTGATATCCTCCATTGGCGGTGCCGCCATTTTCTTCAAACATGTATCATCCACCTCTGCAACTCAAAGCCTCTGTCTTCACTTCAGAAGACCAACTGAAGTTGTGCGCAACTTCATTTTCTCAAGAGTATCACCCTCAGTCAACAGATCAACAGGGTCCACATAGCCTTGCACCTCCAAGCTATTTCCTAGATTACTCTTGTCTCTGCTTATAACTCCCACTGCATAGACAATATCATGCCTATATTGAAAGTCTTTTTTAACAAGTCTAGCTCTGTACCTCTCACTGACATCAAGCTCAGTCTTCACCCGGTACACCCACTTGTTCTGTAATGTCTTCTTCCCTGGTGGAAGTTCTGCCAACTTCCACTTGCAAGAACCACTTGCTCGAATTTTCATCTTGCAAGATTTCTTCATAGCTCTATGGTTCTCCACCATCTGTCTGTGGAACAATAGGAATGAGTGTCCCATACTCACTCTCCTCTTCACTTTAATCATCAATATAACTATGAACTGTCAATAATAGTGCATCATGTACTTCTTCAGATACCACATTTGCGCTATCATTCTCCATAATCTTGGGACTTGGGATTCAATCTTGGGATTCCTGCAGTTCCTCTTTATGTAGTCAGTCTTGCCACAATTCCAGTAGATTATCTGCAGGGGATTTTACTACTTGAGGAATTTACACCAGTCGATTGTCTTGACGTATAAAAGGAATCTCTCACTTCGTTTCTCTCTCTTCTTCTCTCTATATTCTTCTCTCTCTACACCGAGATACACCGAAGAAACTTTACACCAAGATACACCGAAGAAACTTTACACCGAGATACACCGAAGAAGATAAACTTACAAGAGAAATAAACTCAATTTCTCTTTTGTCACAAGCCACCAAGAAGAAGCCAAGGGAGAACAATCTTCTTCTTCTTCTTTCTTCTTCCTTCTGTCGCAAAGAACTACTCATTGCACTTCTCTTCCTCTATCCCGAGGAAGAACGAAGAAGAACACAAAAAATGTCATGCTTCTAAACTGAAGGAAAGAGACTACAAAGTGGGAGGCTTGGTTCAGGAGCAATAACAGGCAAAGGGGTGCTTCACTTCGCGGAAAGGATCATCGGAGGCGGGAGCGGTTGACGCAATAGAGTGAGGCGAGAACAGTTAGGCGAGGCGGTAAGCAAAATCTCCTTTTTTTTGTTTTGCTGGGCTCCACCTCAACAATTACATGACATAATTTATTAAGCAATGGCTAATACTTTCATTACTATAAATTAGGACAATCCATGCAAACCATAATTATATTGCAATTCATCTCACAAGTCAAAAAAATAAAAAATCCTGACTTGTGCAATATACTATGAATTCAACTCGGATAACCTTGAAGTAGCCCACCAATCCATTTGGCAGACACAAATAAGAATTATACACATTGTGTCTTTCACAAATTTTTTTGATAGTACCCATTGATAAGACATACTTTTGTAATTAAAATTGTTGTTCATTCCACTATCTCTATACTTTTCTCTTCATTTGATGGATTCATTTGTCAATTTTATGCATCTTAGATTATATAAAAAAAAAAACAAGCTAGACTATTATCAAAGAACTATATAATTAAAATAATACAATTAGTGCAACAAATACAAAATCAAATATCACATGCACACAACACATGATATTATTCAGCATAAGAAAATTTAAATTATTACAGACCATTCTAAAAAAAATTAGCACACCTTAACTCGAGTGATTATTTAAAAAATAACTGAGGTAAGAAATCCTCTATTCTGACATCATCATAATGAAAGTTTCTTGCTATATTTGATCCTCTAGAAGCTTTATAATGAATAAAAATAGCGACATACCATCAAATGTCTCGGGAGTTAAGTCTAGTAACTTACAACTTCTGTTATAATTGGGTATCCCTGAATAGTTGTGTGAGTGCTAGATATCATACTAGTACATGTAGTAACAAGTTGTGAAATTTACTCCGATAGATAAATGTTGGGCATCGACATTCATTTTTTACGCTTCTGGGTAAAGAATGCAGAGCGCTTGTAATGACTTATTCATTACACAGAGCCTACAACGTCGACCACCCGGCAATGGCCCGGTTTACCGGCTGACTGTTGCTCCTCTCTGTAGCCCAAAACCAATTGCGCATGCACCAGCCCAACTATCTTCAGCAAACCCACCATCAGTCCTCCTCACCGTCCAACTGCCTCGCCAAGAAGGCCACCGTCTGCTTTCGTTAT